TCTCTTCAACATTGCTGCTGCACATATGTCTCTTCAACATTGCGATGCTGATGTTATAACACACCTGTGATGCTGATAATGGTTAACCTGTAAATGTGCTTCGCGCCGTGGATGCGGCACGCTGTCGCTATGGTAACTGACAAGGCGTGGGGTGCCGACATCAGAAGCACGCATCCATCCCTCGACAAGAGATTCGGCCCGCTATTCTATAGACTGGTTGTCGGCGATGGGTCAAGGTCGTGAGTCAAGGTCGCGCTAGCGAGTCGCCTCTAAACTGCTCTCGCGGAATTTTCATCATATTAACTCCTTTGCGGCTCCTTTTCACGCTTGGCATTGAGCTTCGTTTGTTCTGCGGCTGCCCACCCATTAGGTACACACACCGTAGGTGCGCGGCGGGGTGTGTATGTATGTGTGAGTGTGTGTGTGTGTGTGTTCGTGCGTGCGTGCGTGCGTGCGTGCGTGTGCGTGTGTGCGTGCGTATGAGTGTGTGTGTGCGTGCGTGCGTGCGTGCGTGTGTGCGTGCGCGCGTGTGTGTATGTGTACAGTGCCGTGGTTTCGCACGCGCCCGTGAGCCGGGCACCACTGCGGCGCTGTATGTCGGGGCAGGCACACCGCCAGCAACATGACTGCGGGCTGTGAATCGTGATCTAATCTCTTTCTCTCGCTCTCCGCTCCGCGATCAGCTGATGTGATGGGATGTTAGGACCCTGGCGGCTGCGGCGGCGGCGGCAGCGGCGGCGGGGGCGGTGGCATGCGGTCACGTAGCGGAGGTGTGGCCGTGTGCTTGCGTAAGGCACGGTGAGGCCGGGATCAGCTGAGGCGGCAACAGCTGCGGCAAGTTTGAGTCACGTATGAGACGCGAGAGAACTATAGGTGGAGCGAACAACGTGGGTATAAATTGAGTCAACACTGGTGTCTAGGTGCAGCTAACATCGGAGTCGGGGCAGACACGTCGTTGCGATCTAGTTAGACACAATAGTGTCGTCTAGGTGGTACCAACATTGGTGTCTAAGCAGTGACAACATCAGGGTTCGAAATTAAGGGCAGAAGGTTAGCAGTTATCCTGCTTACAATAGTCAGTTTGCTGCCTGCTTTCAATGACGGTGGCAAATACTTGCTGCTAAGAAATTCCTAATAAACCATAGTAACAGCAACAAAGATTTTGCGTGCGTGAGTAAACTTGCTGCCCGTCCTTTTATCTGGCAGTAGGCCTAATTAGTAGCTGCCTGGTAGAAACCAAGGTTCTAACTCAGAAGATTATTGTATTGATGAAGCCAGTATTGGCACCTGGTTGCTGTCTCAAGAGTCCATGTGGTGCCGACACTGTGCTTCATCAAGTGAAACCATTCGTATCTGACATATCGTGCAGCAGCAATGTTGAAGAGACATATTGTGCAGCAGCAATGTTGAAGAGACATATTGTGCAGCAGCAATGTTGAAGAGACATATTGTGCAGCAGCAATGTTGAAGAGACATATTGTGCAGCAGCAATGTTGAAGAGACATATGGTGCATCAGCAATGTTGAAGAGACATATCGTGCAGCAGCAATGTTGAAGAGACATATGGTGCATCAGCAATGTTGAAGAGACATATCAGCAGCAACAGGTGTGTTATA